ACTAAGCTACAAGGGGACTGTGGAGTAATCATTTTCCCTATCCAAGCGTGAAAACACTAGGAGTGGACTGTTTTTTAATAAAAACACCGACATGCTTGAGCGTTAACTAATAAACTTAAAGCATTACTGGATTAAAAGTCAATTTTCCATATCCGACTGATTTATATAATCTCAACTGTTTTTAGCTGAGAGAGCATGTTCACACCTTGCTTTCTGGATCCCTACTTTAATGTTTTTAGCATTCATATATTAACAAAACAAGAGTGGTTATTAGCCAAGCAGGGAAGGCAATATATATTATATGGGTAGTTGGGTGAAAGTAATGAAGTGTTTAGATATTTGTGGTTTCCACAATATAAACCCAACCACTTAGATTTACAGGAAATGTCCCTGTTGAATTACAGATAGCTTGTAAGTAAGGTCAGTAGTACTGTTAGATGTGGCAGCATTAAAATCTTGTTTCCGTTTCAATTCCTGAACAGTGATAAAGTATCATGATTTGCCCCAGTTCCACGACACCATAGGCCACACAAAATACCATTTTACCACAAGGAAGCAATTTTTGGCCTTGGTGGCTCGTTGTGTGCTGTTCTCTGGTAGTCACATAACACATAACAGAAATCAAAGTCCAAGCACAGCGTTACTGAGTGAGAGGGACAACAGTGTTATATTACTGATTTGAATTTAAACATGCCCACCAATATAAAAAAGCTGCTGTAGTAAAAATGTTGCTGTTAATATTTCTTTTCTTAGCGACATCAGCATTTTCTTATTCAAGGAATCGCACATTATTGTAAATGACTAAATTTGGAAAATACTTTCCCACTTGCACATCTGTCTGTTTGACATTTATGATTTTTAATTGAAACGCCTCAGCAGCGTGTGGATTTATTTAACCAATCAGATGTTACTTTATTATCTGAGATTACTTTGATCTCCATCCAAAACTGTTTACTTTCGTTGATGATCAGATACCTGAGCTTCCACTGAGCTTTGTATTCGCTGTCAAATTGATTATTATTATATTGTCGTTAATTTTGTCTGCACGTATTTTCTCACAAATGTGTGTCTTTACATGGATTGCTAATACAATCTGTACTGTAGTCTGCCCAATTACCTGTCTGCCATTGGTTTTTTTTCATATTAAAAAAGCTGATGATGTTGGCTTCAAATGCTAGAACCCCACGACTCCCTCACATGCGTGCACAATCTTTGTCTCAGACAATTGCTTAGCAGGAGCAAAAATACTCACAATGCCCTCAGTTACTGAGAGTGCGTGCCCTCCATACACTGCGAACTTTTGAACCAGCTCTTGACCACAGCTTGAAGGGAGTAGAGACAATGGTTAGTAAACATGCTGGAATGAATGAAGGGATTAGGTATTAAGTGACAGGATGTGCTTAAAGAGGAACAGGTGGTAGCTGAGAAAGGGCCAGCTAAGGCCTAACATCATGCATCTCCCTGCAGCTTTTTCTCAATTTTCTGCATTTTCATGCTCTGTCTCTATTGCTCTCCATCTTTCACACTTGTCTCTGGTTGCTCATCTCTTCCTGTTCACATCCCGCTTTTCTAAAGTGTTGTCTCTCTGTTCGCTATCTCTATTGTCCACTTCTACACAACCAGCGAAGCCTGCTCCTTAACCCAAGTCTCAGACTATTGACATTCATTAGATTGGACATTCTGGTCCAGCCCCATTCATATGTACAGTAAGCAAAGGGACAAAAGCCTCCCCACACACTACAGAGCCCATCCCCCATGCAAAGGACTGCAGTTGAGTTGCTGGTTGAATCAGTGGCTTAACTAAAAGCGAAGAGACTACAGTTAAAAACCCAGTCATCTTGTCAACATGATCGCTCACCACAAAATATCTGGTGACATTTCAAAATACAACCACAGTTTTCACTAAGATGTCATGTTGATAAACATACATCTTTTTCAGCTGATCTTAAGTTCTCATATGAGCCAAATCTGCAATCATCCTTCAGAAATCAGTCCATGATAATCTGAAATAAAAACGACTAAATGAGCTACAGGCAAAATATGGCCATGACTCGGCTGTGGCTGTTCTCATGAGTCAGTCTGCTTTGGCTCTGTTATCCAACATGTTAAACTAAAGTTAATCCTTCTTGTTTTCTTGCAGGATCCTGGAAAAGCATGAGACCCCCTCCTGGGCTTCCGGGGGGTTCCACTTTGGGCAGGAGAGGAAAGCTCCTCTCATCGGAGTGGTAATGAGTTTCTGAGCTCACATTTGTCAACATAGTAAATCCACATCTTATATCTGAAGCCCAGCACCCTCTTTCACATGAGGGAAGCAACACAGCCTCAAATAAATCACGTAAAAAAAAAAAAGAACTACATGATGGGAAATATACAACCAAGAAATGAAGAGAATTGCACAATAAGCAGCGTGAATTGAAAAAGGAGTATTATATACTGGAGTAACTGTGATGAGCAGATGAAACAGACTGCTTGATGTGGTATTAAGCGCTGTGAACATGCAGGCAGATTGGGAAGGGCTGGTGTGGATCGGGTTTTGGGATTACCTCATGCATGTGTAAGAGCAGAATCCCTCCTCCATCTGTGACCCTGTGTGAACTAAGTCAAAATTGAATTACTGTAGTACCTGTCTGTGACACGCCCTTTGTTGTTCTTTTTCTGCTCTCAGTCACGCTTGTTTGTGATATTTACCTTGTTTTGCAGATGTGACATTGTTACAGAATTGCTAACTTCAATCTAAACTAATCTAATTCCCTTTTTTTTTTTATCTCTCTTGTTATTTTTGGGACTTTTACAGAGATGGAGCTGTGAATGGACTATTAATCAAATCACATGCATGTTAGCTGAAGAAGTAAGGCGTTCATGCATAATAAGATCACTGTAACTGTAAAAGCCAGCTCAGTGGCGTGCGTTCTTGGCACCGTTTAACTGTCCTAGTACTGAAAGTAAATTAGCATTACACATGCACCTATTTATAACTCCCTGAAGACTCACAAGCCTGGTCTGCATGTGCGTGTAAGGAAACCTAATGTGCTATTTAAATGTTTCTACTTACTTAGGTAATGTACCATCACTGCTTTGATGCTATTTCAATCGAGACTTTTTACAAAAGTATGATATTTAAAAACACTAAATGAAACACCTTTGTTAACACCTTTGACTGGCAGGTGTGAGCCAGGAAGATGCCTCATCTTGTTTAGATGTGATCATTTACCCATGTGTTCACACGTATATGGTGTCAGGCTCAGAGCAGAGTGGCTGTAATGAGATCCCACACGACATCTGTAGTCCTTCAGTATGACTTGACCCGTATCCACTGGGAATCCTTCTCCTATGTGTACACAACTTTAAACCCTATAAAATGTCATGGGAAGATCCTGTTTGCAGGTGTTTGCCTGCATACATGATGCTCAGCGTGCTGCTTTTATTTCCACCGTGGTTTCATCACCTTGGCAAATTATTTCCCCCAGGTATCCGAGTATAATAACAGTTAAGATCCTGACTGATTCTGCATGAAAACGCAAGATTTTGCGTGGAATGGGCTTGCAGTAGACAGCCAGGCTTGCCCTCTTGCCACGGTCTCAAACAGCGAGTTAAAAGAAAGTAACTGGCTGATATGTCGGACATGGAGGAACACAATAAAGAAAGCCCAGAGACGGCAAGCATAAAACAAGACCCCTGACCTCTTTGTTATGACGAGATGCTCTCTCAGAGATGAGCTGGCCCTACATCTGGAAAGGTCACTGAACACACAAGGTCAGGCCGTCGCGATCCTGCAATACTCAACATCAAAGACAAGTCCAGCTCCTGTCATGCTCTCTCTGAGCTGGGCTGAAAACAACAGCGTTAATCCCACCGACCACTTGCTGACACTCTTACAAAGAGGACAGAGGTCAGCTGGATGTACGAACCCTAATAAGCTGTTTTGATTGTTGCAACTTTGTGAACTCAAAGTGCTGACTTAGATCAGCATGCACCCCCTCCCCCTTTTCCCCTTTGTGTCTAAAACGAATAGAAGAAATGTGCTTCTGCTCTTTATTGAGCATTTCTATTTAAAAGAAAATGCATTTTTTAAACCTCTGAAGGTAAAGTGAACATTTCTAGTTAAAAGAGAGCGAGACTTATGCTGAATAAATGATTCATGAGCCAAAAATAACGGGCTTCGTAATGACTGGATTTGCAGGGACCACATCAAAGCAAAATTTGATCAAATGCTGAAAATGTTTGTCAGGCCTGTAAGCTTCTTAGTTGTGAACTTTAAGGTCACTGTGGCCTCCTGATGGGAGAAAACATTATCAAATATGACCAAAGTAGAGAGGACTGATTTTTGGAAGTGCTGCCTACCTTCATTCATGCCCTCTCACTCACCCCATCTCTGAAAGAATTTTAATGGAAAGATACCGAGGCAGGCTTTTTAGAAACGAGATTATTGGGCAACTTCGTGCAGCTGCCCTCTGCCTAAGCTTCTCATGACAGCTCAGAAATGAGGAGGCTCTTATCATCTGTCATTACTTCTAAATCCCATGTGCCCCTTGCTATACACACCGACTGATTTTAAAAACTGCACGTCTCTCCACAGAAACCCAAACCTCTGCAGCGACCGTCATCTAGGTGTCTGTTTGCGAAACTCTAGGAGTGGGAGTGTGTGTTTTAGTTCGTCATTGCGAGTATTTACTTACATTCAAACGAATGGGGCTGATAGGTTTAACCCTGTAATTAAACACGACTGGTTTGATTGTTGAAGCTGCGACTTATTAAACCAACAGCTGGGCAGAATCAGGAAAGCAGATAAGGAGCTATCTATGCTAAACTGGGCAGCCACAGTGGGATGTTTGTGAGGATTAAGTAGAGACTTCTCCAACATGACTGATAACAAAGAGAGAGCAGAAGAAGAAGGAAGTTACCAGATAAGACACTGGCGACACTGTTTTGCTCACTGGTTCATTTGAAAAATGTCTACAGTATCTAGCTGTCTGAATATATGAAGAAAAAAGGACACAGTGTACATTAAATATCAGTTTATTCAAATAAGATGATTAACTATAAGCAATCAGCCAAGTGAAAGTAAAATAGTAACTAAACAAGATTTATTTCTCATGTACAGAGAGTTATAAGACAGAGAAATAAAATTGTTCAATGCAGCTGCAAGCTATGAGAAAATTCCATTATAGCAATATGTATTTTAAAATAATTAAGTGTAAGGGTTGCATTTTTATACATGCAGTACATACAGTGATTTTTTTACACTTTCATTCATACATTGTTGTTGTTTTTCTGTGTTTTTTGTCATAGTAATTACACACTCAGTGCACAAATGCGATCCAACTTGAATTAGGGGTTTTCTTACAATAGACTGCATTAGATCTTAACAGTTCTGGGAGGCTAAAGCTCTCTGTGTTTTTCCCAGGAATTCTCATTGTGCCTGGAGGAAACTCTTCTACACCAGGGTCATGACCTTTAAGGAGGCTGGCTGGAACCGACGAATCTTCTTCTTCAGGGCTCTGGAAGCTTTGATGCGGCAGGCTGCGGGCTCGGGGCGGGGTGGGAGCTGCTTGAGGGGCCTTCCAGCTGCGGTGGGTCCCAGCGCAGCCTCAGCCCACACCATGCTTCCCTCCTCATCGTGGCTTTCTGCCTGCTCTCCCTCGTACAGGGACAGGCTGCTGTCGGAGTCTGAGAAGGATTGGAAGCTTTGGCTGGACTCGCTATCTCCGAAGCGGTTGGTGGTGTTATCGCTCATCTCTCCCTCGCTGCTTTCAGCGATGGTGGAGTGAAACAGTGAGGCGCATTCAGCTGAATACTCAGACTCACACCTTGGAGGGTAGTGACTGGTAACGTGAAAGGGTGCTGGAGGGTATTTGGCATTAAGACTGTGGAGAAAAGAGCTAGAAGACACGGAGGACTGGAAGGGGAGTGCAGGTCGTATCCACTGGCCTGGCTTGGCACTCATACTCCGGACCATCTGCATGCTCCCTGGTGCCAGAGCGTGGAGCTCTTTTGACCTCAGACGCTGACCACACGAGGCCAGGAACATGTCCGCATCAGAAGGCCATTTGGCAGTCATCTGCCTCTTCTTCCTCTGCTCTACAGGCTGCTCATACTCCAGAGACTGTAGTCTGGGGCTTTTGCTGGACTTTGTAACCAGATGGCTGGGATGCGACTTTGGGTGGGTCTTGTGGGCAGACATGAGTCCAGGACTGTAGAGGCTGGAGTCTGAGCCTGAACCCTGTCTGTATCCCTCTGTTTGACAGGTGGGATTTTTCTGGGTCGCTTTCCCCTTTCCCGATCTTCTGTGGTCTCCCTTTCTTCCAGTGCTCATCTCTCTGGTCCTCTCACAGAAGGAGTCAAAGTTTTGGTGCCTCGCAGCTCGAGGCTTCTCGTTGGTTTTCCTTTTCAGTTTCAAAGCCTTGCTTTTACGATCTGCCTGCCTAACTTTGACCTTCTGAGATCCCGCAGGGACAAATTTGGCATGGACAAACTCAGGTGAAGCTGTGTGACTGCTATGAACCTCAAAGCCTTGACTTTCCTCTGCACTAGAGCTATGGGTCATCACCGGTCTTTGCCTGTGATCCTTCCTATCTTGCGGCCTTGGCTCTGGATTTTCTCCACATCGTTTGTCAGAAAGGCTCTTTGCTACACTGCCATACCTTTCTTGTGGTTTATCATTTCTCTTCAGCGATGAATAGGTGACCTCATCAGAGCTGTACTCCTTTATGGCAGCAGGATAGGAGTACTGCTGTGGCACCTGTGGGCCTCTCACCGACTGTCTATGGTCTGCAATATCGACTAGCTCTTGGCTGGAGTATGCCATGCAGTGTCTCTTCTCGGTGAAGTCTAATGGAATGATGTTTGTCATCTTAGTTGGAGGAGGCTGCAGCATAAGCACCTCTTTTTGAGCCACTTCAGAAAAAACACTTTTATCTTCAATGGGTTTCCTGCAATAGTCACTGTGTTTCTCCAGAGTTCGACTTCCTGCGTCACTCTGGATTTTGCTCAGGCTGCGCTGGAGAAGGTTGTCAATGTAATGTGTCAGTGTCTTTGTCTCATAGGCCTTTTCTAGGGTGTTGTAATTGTTTCCTGGGGGTCCTTGACCCTCTAGTAGTCCATACATGCTTGCTTCACCCCCATTGGAAAAGATGGGACTCTGGAGAGCCACTGCGTGCAGGGGGCTGGGATAGTGGTACTTTTCAGTCCCAATGCGGGACTCCAGGTTGCGCTGAAACTTTGGGTCCCCTGTGGAGGTCTTAAGGTTTGGACACATTGGGGGTTTCTTTGCATCCGCAGACTTGTAGTAGCCTGGAACTTGAGCCAGCATTCTGTCAAGATCACCTGATGGAAACAAAAACAGACATTAACTTTCCACAGCTCAGGCTTCTTTTACAAGAAGAAAGACTGTCTTAATAAAAAATTAAGAGATGTCGTTACCAGTTGACACAGGTCTTGGCCGTGCCTGTTCGGAGCCTGTAGCGCTTGCACGGATCCTGCTGCTGCCCAGATGAAGGCCTGAACCCCGCGGAGGGTTAGGCTGGGTAGTGCTCTCATCAGCAGAACGTCGGCGGCATACATCAACTTGTGGTGGTGGAGGGCTAACGTGACAATTAGAAGGGCTCATGGGAGCGAGGAGAAGGCTTGTTTGTGAAGATGACAGGCTCTCGCTGTACACTGAATTGCACGAGTTTGACAGGGAGCAAGAGCCGCCATCACTGAGCTCATAGAAACCTTGGAAGAAAAGGAACAATTCAATGAGGATCTTCTCAGTATTTAAGAGTATGTGTAGTAGGTTGGGTGTATGCTTTAATATAGTATGCCACCACACCTGAACTTGGCCTGCTGTCACTCTCCAGCTGCTCCGTGGAGGCCTTGCTCACATCCAGCTTCAGCTCACTGATCTGCTGGTCCAGCTGCTGCAAGTGAGTCTTCAGGCCCACATCCTGCTTTCGAAGACGAGACTGAAAAACAGGCAACACATACAAAAGTGTGAGTGGTACACCCTAGAACAAAGACCGTCTCTAAAAAGATTTCCTTAGAAAGGTAGAAGATTTCTAAGCTACACAGTAAAGCTTCCCATGCAAACACAGATTTCACTCAGAGTTTCTTTGTGCCAGTCTCTGAACAGGAAAATTGGTCTTAAAAGTCAAAGTCTATGTCAGTAATGCTGTAATTCCATTCAGATTAGGTCTGTTGTTTAGATAAAAGAAGCTCTAATGTAGAACCATCAGAAAAACAAAAGCGACTCAGCTGTGGCTGATGATTAACCCCAGCAGGACATGGGGGAGCATGGAAGAAGCAGTGGTGGGTAACTCATTTCTCCCCCACAGCGAGGGGCTGGCCATTGTGTAAACTACTACAGGAGGAAAGCTTGGGGGTTGGGGCGAAGCACTGCTTACTTTGCAGCTTAAGTGGGGTATTTACTGTTACAGTGGTTCTTAAAGTGAAATCTCTGGAGACAGTGCCTGCAAACACACTGTTTTATGAATGCTACATTCTCTTGGAAGATCATGTTAGATCATCTGGTTTCTATTTAAACTGAGACCATTCTTGGAAAACTCCCAGTGGTTATCAGCATGATTGCAAAATGCAATTTAAACCTTATGCTGTCTGATGCATTTGACCAGTGCTGCATGTCAAGTATAGCACCCTAATCCCTTGCACTTCCTTTAAAATGCTTATAACAGCAGCCTGCATGGAAAAAGCTTGTCATGGAAAACTCCACAGAGCTCTCTGTCTCCACAACTCCTCTGATGAACAAGACTCCCTTGATTCTTATCCACAGCAAAAGTTCTATTTTTTTTTAAATTTCCCAGCATTAGTGGTTAATGATTGAGGTTTGACCCCCTGCGGTCCTCGTGCACCAAGTGCGCGCGCACACACAGCTAAAAAGTCCTCGGGTCCTGCAGTGAACCTTGATTTATGACACCCATCCTACTTCCTACCCCCAGCTGAGGACATAAAAGTGTGTCTGGTAATAATTGAAGGCGGATTGCACATGAGCATCAGCTGACGGAAACCCCTTCTATACAAATAAACGGTTTATTAAAAATAAATAATAAATAAATAAATGTGAGCACAGTGAAGCTCTCTAATATTTAATGAAAACTGCAATAAAATATTATGACAGCATCAAGCTGTGCATAAGCATAGTATCACAAGAGATTCTGTTGTTTTTATTCTTTATAGCTTTTTAATGAAATGATATCTTACCAGCTGTTGCTTCAGGGCTGTCAGGGTCGCCTCCAGTCGCTGCTCCTCGGCCCCCATGACCGAAGTGACCGGTTCCTCTTGGTCGACTCTCAGCGCCCAGTTCACCATATCGCTCTGTCTGTCCCGGAGAAGCTGCAGCTCGTGCAGCCCTGCCAGAGCAGCCTGCAGCCTCTCTCCGACCCTGCTGCGGTCCACTACGGCTGCTGCGCTCAACATCCCCGTACAAGAGCCCTTCCTGCTCAGCATGCTGAATGATCAGCGCCGCCCGGGAACATCCAGAAACACAGTGTCGTTAAGGATAACCGCTTCCCTTCTCTCCCGGCTCTTGTTGTGCTGTTTGGATTTTAAACTACCTGTTAGAATAAATTTTGCGTAGAGAATAGAGGCTAAGCTCCTCCCACAGACCAAACGGTCCTCCTCCTTATTGGCCGGCACGTCGGTCCCAATAAACATCTGGTTCCAATCCTCCCCATTCAAGTCCTCGCTGACTGAAGCTGCCCAGGCATGCGCAAAGTTCATCTGCGTAATACCACAAGATACCGCAGACACTTTATTATGCGATTTCCATCATTCTTTTGTTGCTATTAATCTCTCCAGTAGCGGAACAAAACAAAGATCCGGAATCATCTTTGTGGACATCTGCCAATGTTTTCAGGGAAAGTAGACATGTGAATAAAAACGACAAGTATTTCTGTAGTCACGAGACAACCCATTTAATCCCATCAGAGGCGTGAAATTCAACAAATTTGAGGCAGAAAGTTCATCTTTAAATTGGTGTGATCTCGATAGCGCTTTTAAAAAAAGTCTTCTTCAATATAATCTTCATCGGGTTAAAACACAAATCACAAATCATAGTTGTTCATTTTTGTTTTTATTGTTATTATTTTGGAAATGGATACCTGCAAGATTAAACAAATGCAATAAAAGAGACTGGCCGGTTGATATAGACCAATGACAGATAAACAGCTCCATCGTGTGGTTGAACGGAAAGATACAGTTTATGACACTGGCTATTTAAAAAAAAACAACATCTCTATAATGAGTTAAAAACAGCTGCTTTAAGCTAAGAAAATGACTAATAAAATCAATTTAGGCTTTTAGAAATTAAACTGCATTTTATTAAGTGATTATAACGACACAGCATTTAAGAATGACAAGCATTGCTTCATCTACCTCGTGTCACTAAGTGTTAAGAGCCAGCTTAGCAGCACAAAGTGGGAAGGTGGTGATGACTGTGGATAAACTATGAGAAAATGTATACAGAACTGAAAAGAAAGACAATGATTTTTGATGAGACAGTACTGATGTTGTAGGGTCTAACAATATAAAGCAACTTGGGGCAACTCTTGTTGTCAGTTCATGTTGTAGAAATAAAGTTTATTTGATATGATATGAATCACGTGGAATGCCCACCAATTAGATACAGTGTAGTTTATACATATTTTTGATGGGTGAAAAAAAGCCAAAGTTAATAGAGTCAACGATTGGAGCAAATCTACACATCCAAAACATTGGAAAGCACAACTTCAAATAAAACCTTTCTATGAAGATAAACTCCATAGTATCTACTTTTGAGTAAAAAATGAAAATGTTGCGCCTTATCTGATGAATTTACATTTACAGTCACGGTAAAAAGGAAGAAAACGCAAGCTTTCATGTATCAGGACATAATAAAAATTGTCTCTTTTTAACCAGGTTTTAAATTAAGCAATTACAACCTCACATGAACAACAACACATGCCAAGTTACACTGTCATTTTTTATTTAACAAAAAGAGTCAAAATACAGAAAGAGTGTGTGGAAAAACTGCATACGCCCCATGATTCATGACCTTGTAGAACAAACTTTGACAAAAAATTGAAGTACTTTTTTTCATTGTGGCTTTATCAGTGTCTCGCATTGTTGTGGAGGAATTTTGACCCACTCTTCTTTACAAAATTGCTGAGGTCAGTGAGGTTTGAGGACATTTGTATATACAGAGCTCTCTTAAGGTCCCGCCCCAGAATTTGACTCAGATTGAGGTCTGGGATTGTTGTAGATTTGCTGCTGTGCTTGGGATCAGTGTTGTGGTGCATGGCCCAGTGTTAACCACGCTTTAGCTGTCAGGCAGATGGCCTCACATTTGACTCTAATATACTTTGCAGCAGAGTTCATGGTCAACTCGATGACTGAATGTTTTCCACTTGTGAATAATCTTCCTCACTGCAGAATGATGGAATTGACATTTTTTGAAAATGGCCTTATAATCACTTCCTAGTCAGGTTGGTAGCAACTATTACTTCTTTAAGATCATTACTGATGTCTTTTCCTCCATGGCACTTTCTTACCCTTTTAAGTGCTATTGACGCTCTAAGGATGCTGTAAGGATGTATTTACAACGTTGAATTCTCTCAATTTTTTGTGTGTTTGTCACACTTAAATATTTCAGATCATTAAACAACATAAATTAATTGTGGCGTATCGCATCTTTGGAAAGCTGATTTCAATTTCTCCAGCCACACGCAGGCCTGGTTACTGCCACACCTGTTCTCGATCAAGAAACTTGAA